ATCCACCTCCTATTATTAATTCTCAACTCATTCATAATAATGTTTTTCTTTTATTTCTTAAATTTAAGAGATAGAAATCGGTTTATAGGTTTCTTTTTGAATTCATGCGCTGTCGAATAGTCGTTTAAATTCAACAACAAAGCTTTCCAGAGTATGTTACTTTCCTCCTTGTAGCTCTCAAATGCTTTTATATGCTTGTTCATAATGGAAACCTATAATGGGAAACTATAGAAACACATTTCTTAGTGCCCCTTCCCATGATCATCCCTCAATTTGTCAACCCTTTCGGCCAGAATAAAGTGGTTTTTTGGGGAGGGGGGGGGGGTCATTCAAGTTTCAAACCAGTACCTAAATAGGTTAAAGAGGAAAACCTAGCAACGAATAAGTCAGTTTTCTGAATTTGGAAAAGTCCCGGAAATCTGAGGAGTAATGTCGAAATTCATTCCATTTCAAATTTTTGCATTAGATAGAGCGATCAAATTAACTAAATTGCAAACAAAAGGAAGAAATTTCTGCACATTATTTTTAAAACCTATTTCATACGAAGAATATGAACAATTTTTTCACGAATAAAAGTCATATTTTTGTTCTTTATTTTACTCTCTCATCTCTTCTTTATACAGTCGTGATCATTAAAAGTGGCTTCGAACGTGATTTCCTTTCCCTCACAAGATTAACAGCTAAATCATGTGCTTAAAATCGAAGACTACAGATCTAATTATTGATTTAATGACAATAGCATTGGTAAGGCCTATGAGTCAAACTAGTGGGAGTAATTATCGATTAACCTGAGATATTTCGTGGAAAAAATGCCTTAATTTGGGGGTAGATGAGCCATATATTAGTGAAAGCAGAGTCGGCTATTGAACTGCGTTGCTAGCAAGGGATAAAACTTGAAATTAAAAGCTTAATCACCAAATAATGAGTCATCTTATTCAGTCCAATCCCATCCGCATGCCTAACATTGCGTGAGAATTTTTCAATGATTACTGCAAAACCCGAATCCATGTGCGAATGCCGAAAAAAATTAGGTTTAACTAACGCGTATACTGCAAAAATAACAAACACAGAACCGATTGGCCTTGAAACAACGACACTAATTATGATGTCTTGATTTACCTGTTTTTTCCACATATCGGGCTATTTCTGATTCCATTTCATATTGAGCTCCAGACAGCATGATAATCTTTTTGTCGCCTTCTGGTGGTAGCATATCCTCAGCTTCAAAAAGAACTTCATACTTTCTATACAGTAAATCATATTCATCTCGTAATTTTCTTATTGCCCTTCGGTAATCGTAAATACAATCGCGATAGTCACAATTCAAACATAGACACTCTTTATAGGCATAGATATAAGGCCGAATTCGATGCCAGAAAGACTTTTTTTCAAGCTCTAACGTTAGACGCTTCTTGAGTATCATCAGTCGAGTATCCTCATTTTCTCCTATTTGCTTTCGATTCATAACAACGCTAGAAGTTTTCTCATCATAGATAAAAGCTTCCACAGGAGTAGGTCTAATTCTATTTGGGTCAAGAATGTTTGGCAACAGGCTCTCTTCTGGTGGCGGCTGGCAATGTGAAAACATGATCGTCGGTCTATAATCTGGTTTGCATATTTCATCTAACCCCTTAATCACCGGTTTTGTCCACGTTGCTTTGAAGAGATTTGTGAAATCACGATGGACATCAACGTATTCCATGTAGAGTTTGTCGAAGGAGGTGACGACCGGCTTTAAATAAACTGAATATGAGCACACTGCCCTACAATGACAAGGAAATGGAAGCTTGGTATTGTTTTTCATTGCCCGTCTATTTTTTAGGTCTTCAGAAATCACGGCGGAAGCCACATTATCAACCGCTTGATGGTACAATTCTTCGTCGGTAGGTGGGCACTTCTTTTGATTAAACCGACTGAGTATTTCGTGTATCTAGATTGGGATAAAGAAAACTGAAATCAAAGATATATTGGACAAATTTGAGTCTAATTTGCCTTGAGCGAAGGAATAGAGAACGAAATTTAGAGAATTAACTTGATAGCCGTAGGTAGGGTCATTAAAAGTTCTACATCTGCTTTGATTTTAAGCTATGAGGGGTGTGCGATAGACTTACCTCCACGTGGTGCACCCTG